GCCAATCACAACGCACTGGATAGCTGGCCAATCACAGCACACCTCGCTTTTCAGAACGATGAGTTTTGTACAAATCGACACGTTTCAGAAAGGCGGGGCATAGAGGAGAAACAATAATGTACAGTATGTGGAAAATAATGTGTTTTTTTAACCTTAAACCGCATAAACACATTTCATAACACCAAATACACCAAATAATGTTCTTTTTAGCAGCATCATATGACCCTTTAAGGAGGAAATATTATGAATGAAACTTGATCGACAGCAACAGTTGCTATGTCATTATCCTAGTGAATAGAATAGCTTTAATTAATGTACAGTCACTGGTACACATCAAGCCTTTCCTGTTATTTTGCGCTCACGTGTTTCAGCCACTTTTCATTCATTAAACGCACGTTAATCTCGCACACACAAGCGGTTGCTGTGATAACGAATAACAATAGTCAAAAACATCCCACATCTGAGGCTGAGAATATAACCAGAGCTGCGTGTATTATATTTCTGTGTTGTTTTAGATCAGTATATTCTCCTATCATTCACAGTAAAGTCAGATACAGCGCCCCCTAGTGTCTTCAGGAGAACACGCTGTGAATGTAAGCAGGCTTCAGAGTGAGTTTAGTGTCTGTGTTTGCCGTCTGCAGTGCTGTAGTACTTGTGTCACTGTCGGCGTGTGTTTCCATTCATTTGAAAGACTGTTTTCATCTTCTCTGAGGTGTGGATGTGTGGCGGCCATATGGAGGACATTCCCTGCTCACGCGTGGGTCACATCTACAGAAAATACGTTCCCTATAAAGTGCCGGGTGGAGTGAGTCTCGCCAGGGTGAGTTTGAGCATCAGATCCGACAAACACATCCAGATCCGGATCATTCTGAGACCAAGCAGATCAGATTTACTACATCTCTGCAGTTAAAGCAGTGAAGATCTCGGGTGTTGCTCAGACGGAAGACTGCTTGCGTCCTCAGCGTTAAACACAAGAGTGAGACGCTCTAGTAAATACTTTATATTAAGACTGACTTTCTATTGATGCGTCTTTCGGATGAGACGTTAAACCGAGGTCCTCACTCTCTGTGGTCATTAAAAATGCCATGGCACTTCTCGTGTAACCCCGGTGTCCTGGCCAAATTGCCCCCCTGGCCCTTGTCAATCATGGCCTCCCAATAATCCCCCAACCACTTGATTGGCTCTATGACTCTCTCTCCTCTCCACCTGTAGCTGGTGTGTGGTGAGCGCACTGGCACTGTTGTCCTGTGGCTGCCGTCGCATCATCCAAAGTGGATGCTGCACACTGGTGGTGGTTGAGGAGAGACCCCCCCACATGATTGTAAAGTGCTTTGGGTGTACAACAATACACAATAAAGCGCTATATAAATGCATCATTCATTCATTCATTCAGTACAGTGAATGACATCCGTCTGCGTCTCCCAGTGGTGTCCATTATGAATAGTTCAGCATCATGTGGTTAATTCACAACAAAACATAATGCCCTCATCTCCGAAATCGTTTCTCTCTTTTGAAGTTCATAATGAAGTAGGAGAGGTCAGCGCCGATTCATTTTCTGAATTGAAATGTGTGCAAAGGATTGTGGGTGATTCTATGCATCCTTCAAAATAATGAAGGCCGTCTGGATATGCAGGCTTACTTTACGGTTGAGAAACAGTCCTCAGTGAGCCGGCATTAAACAGTAGAAACATCAGTATAAAATGAAACCAAAGCACCGTGCATGTGTTCAGTAACACGCAGGGACGTGTATATGTGTGATTCACCGCTGTGTTGCAGAATCTGAAGCGTGTGGCCGAGGTGTGGATGGACGAGTATGCAGAGTATATCTACCAGCGGAGGCCGGAGTACCGACACCTGTCTGCCGGAGACGTGTCCGCGCAGAAGCAGCTGAGGAGCCGGCTGAGCTGCAGGAGTTTCCGCTGGTTCATGACGGAGGTGGCCTGGGATCTGCCCAAACACTATCCTCCGGTGGAGCCTCCGGCCGCTGCGTGGGGAGAGGTGCGTGCTAACGGCCCAAAACACGTGCTGAGGAGCTCACATCTCACCCAGAACCACCCATATAGCCTCACTAATCAATAATTAAACACGTTTCAAAGATAGTTTAGGATTTTCCTGCTGAAACCAGTCTGAGGTGCCAGGTGATTTAATCTGGTTTCAGATAGTCTGTGTTTAGCTGGATGGCCCAAAACCCTTTTAAACCAGCCTAACCAGGCTGAGAGACCTGTTAAGCCCAGCAAACCAGTTTAGGCTGGTTTAAGATTAATTACATACATAACATTACATAAAGCATATTTTCTGGGACAAAGCTGAGTATAAGTCGCTCTGGGCAAGTCAGAAGTGTGTATTGATCCTTGCAATGATGTGTGCTTGTCTTCAGCTGCGTAACGTCGGCTCCGGTCTCTGCATGGAGAGCAAACACTTCTCCTCGGGCTCCCCGATCCGTCTGGAGAAGTGTCTGAAGGGACGAGGCGAGCCGACCTGGAGTCACGGTCAGGTGAGAGACTCAGATCCGTTCCCAGGGAATCCATGCACTGAAGAATGTGCTTCTCTGAAGCTAAAGGCAGATTCTGTCTTTCTCAGTGCATTATTTGGATGAGCTGATTTCAGTTTGACAAATGTGCTATGAATGTACGAGGATGCAATGTTGCTGAATGCATTAATGCAATAACCGTAAGAGTCTGTATGTATGTTGTGCAGGTCTTTACGTTCGGATGGAGAGAAGACGTACGGGTGGGAGACCCGCTGCACACTAAGAAGGTCTGCTTCGACGCCGTGTCACACAACAGCCCCGTGACGCTCTACGACTGCCACGGGATGAAGGGGAACCAGCTGTGGGCCTACAGGAAGGTACATCAGCATCTCCACATCTGTGCAGACACGTCACTCTGTACAGGGAGCTCGTTCTCCGTCAGCCATTAGAAACATTAGTCAGAGTTAATGCTTCATTTGACCTTCTCTACTGTCAGGTGAGTTTAGCATTCAGAACAAAGTTTATTTTGAACTTCCTGTCACACTTCCCCTCCAGCCACGCCCACATCTCAACATCCAATCAACAACCGATGCTCTGAAACAAGTCCCGAGAAAGACACTGCACTGAGAAAGACATTTTTCTTTTTGATGATGGACCTTTTTCACAGAAGTGAAAGTCGTCCTAGTTGAGTGAACGGCAGACAACATCAAATATATTTAGCAAGAGAAAAACTCCACGATAGTGTTTTTACGACTTTCAAAATGAGGAAAAAATAGAGAGAGATTGATAACGGCAGTCAGAAGAGAAAACGATGCCAGATTTACCGTCACTCCCACAGACGCTGCATATGAACCATTTTACATGTGAATAAAACTGTTCCTGATTGTTGTCATTTTCAGCTGTAAACTGGCATACTGATGTGTGTGTGTGTGTCTCTCTCTCTGTGTGTGTGTGTGTGTGTGTCTATCTCTCTCTCTCTGTGTGTGTGTGTGTAACCTCAAGCGCGTGCCCTCATATTGTTCATTAGGGTTGCCTGATGACTTTGAGGGTGCTAAGATGTCAGGTGTTTCCAGAAGGGAATCATTTAATTAAGAGATCTATCACAATCCACCTACTGCAGTTTAGTCGTGTCTCCTCAGGAAGAGCTGAATTATGGTTGGCTAAATGAGTGTCCTTCTTTTATCTTTGACATGTGCAGTCTTATGTAAATGATGGACAACAGATGAAAATCCTCATTCAACATTTCACCTTCATAATAGCAGCACATCATGCATCATTGGTCAATATATGGGTGCCACATCAGTCAGCGATACTTAGTAATAACCTTTGTGGTGTTGGCAGGATTAATATTCTAGATGAATGTTCCTGTACGCTTGAAAAGCAGCCACTCTTTTGTATTTGTCTCTTTTCTTCTTCCGTCGTGGTGTTCAGCAACACGCTGGGCTCCCAGATGGCTCATGCAGCATGTCATATATCTGCCTCATCTCATCCATCGCACTAAAACTTCATCAGACACCTAAACAAGAATTTGGTTTTGTCATAACTGATTACATAGCAGTAGGCTTATGTGTGTGTGTCTATTTATCTCTCTCTCTGTGTGTGTGTGTGTGTATCTATCTCTCTCTCTCTCTGTGTGTGTGTGTGTGTGTGTGTGTGGCAGGATAAGAGCCTCTATCACCCCATCAGTAACAGCTGCGTTGACTCTGATGCTGCACAGAAGCGGATCTTCATGAACTCCTGCGATCCCTCGTCTCTCAGCCAGCGGTGGCTCTTCCAGAACACCAACGCCACGGTCTTAGACTCCTTCAACAGCAATCACAACGAGTAATGCTGCCAATATGAACATGAGAATCCACCGGGCAGCTGATGCCGGCGAGAGCTTTGTGATCACGATGTGCCGCTGCTCTCCGAAGAGAAACGTTCCTGTGCCTTTACTGAACCGATGAAACTCTGTTCTGATTGTCTGACTCCAAACCGCTGGGAAAGCTGAAGCTCTGTGCTTCTCTCCACACTCCCATCATCATCATCTTCATCACTTCTGCTGACTTTCACCCCATTGACCTGAAAATGATCCGTAAGAGTGTTTGCAGGGCAGCGTTTGACTGATGCTCTTCGTCTGCTTCGGTGTGTCTGAGGAGCGTCTCAAAGACAGTGATGTCGTCACTCATTTGCATACTGAGTGATTGGATTGTGCTTCTGTTCAGTCATCATCCTCCCGTCTCTGATTCTTGTGTGCGGTTAACAGAAGAGTCTTTACACAGAGTCAGAGCCTCAGACTGTGGGCTGCCTTGCAAACACGTCACAGTTTGTCCTTCAGAAATGCGAATCTGATGCTGTCCTTTGTAAAGATTGAGAGGTTTATTTATTTGACTGTTCTGAGTCATTCCCCAGAAACACTGGGCTCATCGTGAACGATGAAACACCGACAGCAGCCTTTACTGAGCACTGTGCTTAAAACGTGATTTTATTATCCAGCTTCTCTTTGTTGTGTTAACAAATATAGACGTATTCTATTTGTTTTTTTTTTTCATTTTAAAGGACATAATGTTTTACTACAAAGGCTTCAAGGCGGTTATGTGTCGACCCTGTTAGCTAAAATCATGTACGGTTTCATCATTCAGAAGCGGTTATATTTTGTCAGGTTTGTCCATCGGGGAAATCTCAAATAGTCAGTCCTGTTTCCATGATTTTGTACCGTAAACAACAATGCAGTTAAAATTACTGCTGCACAGCAGAAGACTGTGGAACGACCGGACTATATTTTACTAGATTATTTGGTCAGCTGCATTTTCTGCTGTTTGTTTCTCCCCCGTCTGTCTCTGATATAACCAGCTGAGATCCACTGGTTCTCAGTAACTGCTTGCACCCAAAGACGGATCCTGCATGATGCTGTTTGTAATGCACATGAGCAACACGATGTGAAACTTGAATCCAGTCGACGTGCCTTGCTGAAAGATGCTGGTGTGACGCACAGCACACTGTAGTCTAGTTCTCTACATTCAGTGTTGAGCGTTTGACCCGTTTTTACCATTAAATATTTTTACAGATTATCTGCCGAGCACTTTGAAATGTTTCTTTGATCCGAAGCTGTTTTAAAGTTGATCTGTCCAGCACTTTCAGACGGTTCTTTGTCCAGAGCCTGTTTTCGAGTATTAACGAGTTTGTAATTTCTGTCGATTCTAAAGAGAGCCCTGGGTTTCATAATGAATTATTGCTATTGTGTCTGGTGGACCAGTGTGTCAGACGCACATCTGAATAATTACAGTTTAATACTGAGCTTAATAACTGAGTTTAATACTGGAGCTTTTGAACTGAAATGTTTAAGAACCAGCTGTTGGTTTGTTATTGTGTAAAACTCCTGCCTTGATGGGTTTCCAGACGTGTGTGTGGAATATGATGATATGGGGTTGAATCTTGGGAACAGTAGTAATTTTACACAGGTTTGTCACTGATGCATTAAAACGGTTCTGCCACCATTTAAACTGCTCATCATAAATTATTATTAGTATTCATGCACAGAGAAATGTGTAGTGGGTTCAGTTCTGTTATTTTTCTGTTCATTTGTATCAATAATGTTTTGTCATTTCAAGTCTGAATTCTTGCAAAATTATGCCGTCATAGAAAAGCCATTAAATCTTTTTCTCTTTTAGTACAAATACTACTGTAAAACTGTCCTGGTCTTATTTGGAATAGTTTGTATTTACTTGCATAATTTGCCTGAATTCAAATGAGTTTTCATAGCCTCTTTAGGAAAATGTTCTGCAGTGAAGTAGTCGCATGTTTTTCCTGGAACAGTGTTTTCTGAAGTCCTGCAGTCATGCATTAGTTGGTGTGCATGCATTAGTTTGGTGTGCATGCTCGTTCAGGTCTGCAGCAGCTGCTCGTGTGCAGGGCATGTGAACTCAGACACCGCAGTAAAGATAGTCTGCGGTGTGATATTCAGATTTCTTCTGGCTATAAATACGCAGCGAGCTGTCACAGACAGTCAAATAATACCGAATATCATTCTCCACGATGTGTGCATTCAGGTGACGCTGTCTGAGCAAAGATAAACACTGCCACGCGATAAAACAGCGCTTTTGTCTTCCAGCAGTCTGCGTGTTTATTGGTAATAAGACGTTAAACATTCACGTTCCTTATAGAGGCCTCAGCGAGGGTTACTGAAGAAATGCAGAGCTGAAGCTGGAGACGACACCGTCTCATTCCTCTCAGCGGCCAGCTTTCACAGCGATAGCCATTACACAGCTAAGAGTCGCTACGAAACCCCCGATGACAGCTCGCTGCGTATTTATAGCCAAAAGAAATCTGAACATCAGTCCGCAGACTATCTTTACTGCGGCATCTAGACTCGTGTTAAATAAAGACTCATCAGCCACGAGTTCTCAACAGCTCAACATCACTGCAAATAACTCATTTCTCCCACTTCTGGAGTGTTTTTGCTCCAGCAGCACAACAGACGAAAGCACTTTCTCCTCGCTTTCAAAACGGCTTTATTTCGCTGCATGTGCTCCGGAGCAGCGGCTGTATCAGAAGCCCAGCTTTAGATGCGGGACTCTGTAAAGAACCGTTATCATTATAATAAACAACGCTTTGTGTTTTACACGCAATCTTCGCATCGATAAACTGAACATGAGATTGAGTAGCTGAAGTCTCGTGAAGGTGTGTGTGTGTGTGTGTGTGTGTGTGTGTATATATACACTTATGTGAGTGTGTGTGTGCTCCGGTGAGCCGTTGCATGACATCGACAGTCAGGAAGTGGCGTTTGATTGACGCGCGCGCTGACCAACAGAAATCGAAGACGCAGCCTCGGAGGCCCGCCTTGTTCGGAAACCAACCAATGGTCTTTCAGAGCTACAACTTCCGGTTTCTGGCAAGACTTGTTTCATTGTGTGTATGTTGTTGTAATGGCCTCGTAGTTTATAGCGCGTCAAATCTGCAGTTTCGGCGCGGACACGGTCGGTTCTGACAGTTCGGCTGCTCCAGTGACGTCTTCAGCGAACCGGAGATTCTCGTTCTGGACGCTTCTCTCGGCGAGCCGTCCGTTCATCCGCGGCGCGCGCTCGGCTCTTCGGAACGCTTTCAGCTGCGTTCGGCTCGACCGCCTCTCCTGGACGTGCCGGTCATGAACGGGTTCAGCACGGAGGAGGACAGCCACGACGCGCCGCCCGCGCCGCCCTTCTTCGGCCAGAGCTGCTGTCTGATCGAGGACGGGGAGCGCTGCGGCCGCGCGGCGCACACACACACTCTTCGATCTCCCTCCCTCTCTCTCGATCGAATAATTCATTGAAGTAGCTAAATGTTATAATTAATTATTCAAATAAATGTGATCTTACCACACTATTTAATCTGTCTGATCTGAAGCGGGCAGAATGCTGAGTTAACGAGCCGTAGCTTCACGTCAGGTGGTTCTTGCCTTCACGTCGTGCATTAAGATCATTCAATGTACAGCTAGCCGTGCATTATCCCTTATGTATTCGCTCTTTAGCAGCAGTTTTTTACACCAATATATAAATGACACCCTGGTCATTCTTGGTGTACCTAAAATAGTCTCTCACTATCGTCTTCAGGCATTTCTCTGGTGGAAATAAAGGATCGCTGTTTGGTTCCTCTGTCATAGTTCATCTAGTGTGTGTAGTAGCCTCCGTGTCTCTGATAAGCACAGCATTTTAAGTTGGCGCACCACTAGTGTAACTTTGTTTTCGTTTTGCGCACGTTGCAACTGTTCCGTTCTGTGCAACAGAAACACTTGGTGTAGCGGAGGCTTTACGATTAATTAACCGTGACATTTTAAAGCGCGGTTAATTGAGAAACCGGTTAATCGCTGCATCCCTAGCTCCAACAAACCGTTCCAGTTATACACTTATTTTCACATAGCTATGAGAAGTGTTGTACATGGACGTGCATACGGTTGCTGTGCTGTATTAAAGCTTTAATCAGAATAAAACTGTATATTAAAAACTAACAGAAGCAGTAGCATTTACAAACACCAGCGTATCTAAAAGTATGAGACAACAACAAACAAACATACCATTAAGAGCCGTGCTTGTACAGATTCTGCTCAATCCTCTTCATTAATATTCTCTGCGTCTCAATCGGGCTCAAATTGATAAGCAATATAGAGGACGTCATTGTTTACAATACAACCGAAGCACATTCTGAGCTTGAGGGGTGGTTTAGCCAATCACAACACACTGAGCCAGCTGACCAATCTCAGCCCATTGCGTATTTCTCGAAATAATCGAGTCGTTTGTCAGAGAAGGGAACAGATCGGTGTGGAATAAAGGTAAATTATGTGAAAAATAATGTGTTTTTTTAAAAACAAAGCATAAACACATGTTAGACTGCACCCCATAAACACAACCAAGCCTAGAAAAAAAGCAGTCACCCACCCCTTTAAATGTCTTAACTTTTGAACTGGAGACATTGGAGTTTTTTCCATTCTGCGTTTCTGCTGAACCATTTTTCCCTTTAAGCCGTTCGTTCCTCTGTGGATTAGCTCACATTTTGTGTAGGATTGTGGGAGACTAGTTAGCTCTGGATTAGTCCGTTCATATTGTTTCCAGTAGTGGCTCCTGACCGTAAATGTAGGTGTGGTAGATTCTGGGCCATATAATGAATATAATTATGATGACTGTAAATGTTGAACACATGGAGACACACTGTTGGCAGCGGCCTGGTGTTGTTGCGTTGTTCAGCCCGAGGATGGCGATGTAATGCTGATCGACAGTGTTACGAGCACACACACACACACACACACACACACACTCACTCACGCTCTCTCCCACACACACACACACACACACACACACACTCACTCACGCGCTCTCACACACACACACACACTCACGCACACACACACACACACACACACACTCACTCACGCGCTCTCACACACACACACACACTCACGCACACACACACACACACACACACACTCACTCACGCGCTCTCACACACACACACACACTCACGCACACACACACACACACACACACACTCACTCACGCGCTCTCACACACACACACACACTCACGCACACACACACACACACACACACACTCACTCACGCGCTCTCACACACACACACACACTCACGCACACACACACACACACACACACACTCACTCACGCGCTCTCACACACACACACACACTCACGCACACACACACACACACACACACACTCACTCACGCGCTCTCACACACACACACACACTCACGCACACACACACACACACACACACACTCACTCACGCGCTCTCACACACACACACACACTCACGCACACACACACACACACACACACACTCACTCACGCGCTCTCACACACACACACACACTCACGCACACACACACACACACACACACACTCACTCACGCGCTCTCACACACACACACACACTCACGCACACACACACACACACACACACACTCACTCACGCGCTCTCACACACACACACACACTCACGCACACACACACACACACACACACACTCACTCACGCGCTCTCACACACACACACACACTCACGCACACACACACACACACACACACACTCACTCACGCGCTCTCACACACACACACACACTCACGCACACACACACACACACACACACACTCACTCACGCGCTCTCACACACACACACACACTCACGCACACACACACACACACACACACACTCACTCACGCGCTCTCACACACACACACACACTCACGCACACACACACACACACACACACACTCACTCACGCGCTCTCACACACACACACACACTCACGCACACACACACACACACACACACACTCACTCACGCGCTCTCACACACACACACACACTCACGCACACACACACACACACACACACACTCACTCACGCGCTCTCACACACACACACACACTCACGCACACACACACACACACACACACACTCACTCACGCGCTCTCACACACACACACACACTCACGCACACACACACACACACACACACACTCACTCACGCGCTCTCACACACACACACACACTCACGCACACACACACACACACACACACACTCACTCACGCGCTCTCACACACACACACACACTCACGCACACACACACACACACACACACACTCACTCACGCGCTCTCACACACACACACACACTCACGCACACACACACACACACACACACACTCACTCACGCGCTCTCACACACACACACACACTCACGCACACACACACACACACACACACACTCACTCACGCGCTCTCACACACACACACACACTCACGCACACACACACACACACACACACACTCACTCACGCGCTCTCACACACACACACACACTCACGCACACACACACACACACACACACACTCACTCACGCGCTCTCACACACACACACACACTCACGCACACACACACACACACACACACACTCACTCACGCGCTCTCACACACACACACACACTCACGCACACACACACACACACACACACACTCACTCACGCGCTCTCACACACACACACACACTCACGCACACACACACACACACACACACACTCACTCACGCGCTCTCACACACACACACACACTCACGCACACACACACACACACACACACACTCACTCACGCGCTCTCACACACACAC